GGCTGGAGGGACCATGCCCTGCCCGCACTGGCTCAGCAGGGGCCAACGCACCCCACGTGGGGACAGGGCTCTCCGTCACGTCACAGCAGGTTCCACCCCGCAGCCCGTGAGCGTCTCTGCATCCCCCACGCACTCACGGAGGGACCACGACAGTTACTGCACGTGGTGACAGTCCCCAACTCACTTGGTCACGGTTAAACGAGATGCAGCGAATACCCAGGCCCTCCCAGGACGAGGGATGCGGGTCAGAGCGGAAGACTGCAGCTGGACAACTCAGAGCGGTATCAGCACACAGGTGCCTTCTCCAGGAGAAAATACTCATGCTGTTGTCCGGAAAGAGGGATATTGGGGCTGGAGGCAAATCCCAGGAGAAACCTGAGCAAAGGACAACGCCTAGACCCCATTCTAAGCACCACATCCCCATCCCTTCGGAAGGGGCCGGTGTGTATCCCACCAACTTCCTAGCAGCTCCCCGTCACCTCTGCCGATGGACCCACCGGCTGCTGCAGCCCCCTCCCCAGAGCCAGCTGGGGCTGGGGGCGGAGGTTCCCAAGTACCGCTGGCCTGGAGTGCTGGGACAAGGGAGCTGCCAAGGTATGGGGCTGCAGAAGGCTCTGCCAGTAGGAACACTGGTTTTCCATCCTCCCCCAGCGCCCAGCTGGGACCAACGGGATGACCAAAGACATGACTTGCCCTCCGAAAGCTCTGGCCGCTGCTGGCTCCCAAGAGGACAAGGAGCACAAGCACTTTCCCAAACTCCCAGCAGCCAGACGCCGCAGGATGAACGCCCTGCACTGGCAAACAAGTGTCGCTACTCAGGTGGAAGTTCTTTATTCGTGGCCTGGAGGAAGGAGCAAAACCTGGCAAGTCTACAATCAAGTAGGAAATGCAATCAAGTAGGAAAACAAGCTTTGCAGAATTCAGGATAAGCTTAAAAATAGCCGCCAGCAGCAGGAGGCTGCTGCACACGAGCGGTGTGTGTCCCTTGAGGCGCTGGCACCGGGACATGCTTGGCTCCAGCAGCCCAGCATGGCCCCTGCGGCTCATCAGCTCGGTAAGGACGGCATTTCAGCTAGCCCGTGATTTACCCTCAGCTGTAGTGTCAGTACAGAGAAAGAGGACAGCGTGACACTGGCAGGACAGACAGACGGGCACCAGACGGACAACTGGACACCTCAGGTTCCCAAGAGACAGAGTGCTACAGTCCATGGCAGTATAGAGCCAGCTCTGGTGGGATCTGACCTCACGTCACCACTGCTCCCGGGGAAGGGACATCCCAGCGGCATCTGCATCACCCTCTGGGACCACTGCCCCATCCAGGACCCTCCCCAAGAAGGGGATGGGGCCGTCTTGGTCCTTGCTTCCCCTCCAAGAGCTGCCAGCTACCACTGCCAAGCCAGAGCTGCCCCCAGCACAATTGATCTCAACCCCCGAGGGGCTGTACTCCCCCCTCCCAAAAAAGAGCTGCTGCTGGGGGTCTTGGGCAGCTCTCAGGCTGGGATGGGGGAGAGGGGAGGAAGAGGAAAGATGAGCAGCCCTGCCTGGGACTCAGGAAAGGCCGGGAGAGCAACTCAGATGGAGACACAAATGGGCAGTGAACATTGCAGCCTGCACGCCCCGCACTGTCCCTGCGTGCCCCCTCCCCCCTGCCACAGCAGATCAGAAGAAAGTAATGGCACGGAATGGGGGTGGGCTTGCTCCCCACCCAGCACACAGTGCTCCCTCCCCCAGGCAGATGCAGGATCGGCAGCGTCTCCACCACCACCACTGCTCAGCAGCGGCAGCTATCAGCTCCGACTCGGGCAGACGTCACCCCGCGATGTCCCGTTTGGTCACGTCTCTGTCCGTCGGCCAACCCCAGGCTGTCCATCACTGATTTTTGTTTGCTCCCGCAGCCCAGAAATCTGCAAGAGAGCGTGGCAGTAGGTACAGTCCTGTCTTGGCCTACCCTGCTCACAGAGGTCCAGGAATGACCCAAACAGGGGGACAAGGGAAGAGAGGAGACCCCTCTCCCAGGAAGTGCTGGGCAACGGCTCCCTTCCCAGCGCTGCAGACACGCGCGGCCAACGCGAGTCCCACGTGCAACTCAACCGCACGCTGCAGCGACTCGTGCAAGGAAGAAAGGGGGAGGCACAGGCTACCAGGACTCTCTGTGCCCCATCCTGCTGGTGGGGCACGGAAAAGGGGTATCACATCACTTCAGGGGACACGCAGGTGTCCAGCACCATCCTCCAGCGGGAACGACAAGAGATACCGCGTCAACCGCAGGCCGAGAGGAAAAGCCCAGCGAGTTCTCCTGCCCTCCCCAAGTCACGCCATGGACTGCCCTCCAGGACTCGGAGATGTTCCCCATGGTGCTCTGTGCCTGCTGGGACAGCAGCACGAGGGGTGACAACAGCACGGGGGGTGACAACAGCACGGGGGGTGACAACAGCACGGGGAGGTGACCCTGCCCCAAAAGCAGAGGAAGGTTTGAGAACAAGTGCTGCCAAGTGGAGATGGGGGCTGGCTGCCCTCACTTGGAGCCCCTGACACCCAGCACCCTCTCGCCCTTTCCCCAAGACAGTATGTACCACGCAGCTGCCGCAGGAGGGGCAGAGCTGGTACAAGGTGACCGAGGCACCCACAGAAGGCGGTGCCGCACCCCCTGCTACGCAGCTACGCCCCTGCCACGGGGCAACAGGGGTTCTGACAGGAACCCTGCTCTAGTCCCACGGAGGGGAAATGCACGTCACCTAGAGCTTAGCAGAGGATGAAGCAATACCCAGCAAGGCAGAGAAGTTGTTGGCAGAGGTCAGCCAGCTCCCGCCATCCACGACCAGGGTGGTGCCTGTCACGTAGGAGGAGAGGGGGCTCGCCAGGTACAGTGTGCTGTGGGCAATCTCCGTCTTGTTCCCTGCACGCTGGAGGGGGATCGTGGCAAAGTGGCTCGCTTCCTCGGCAAATTTCCCACCTAAGAGGGGTAGAAGAGAGTCAGGCAGGGCCGTGGGGCCTCCTGCCCATCACTGCTACCTGCAGATGCTGCAGCACTGCTTGTGCAGGGCTTGCTGCGAGCCCCAGGGAATCTAGAGGAGATCCTGTCACAGCCCTGGGGACAGCCCAGGGACAAAGGCTTGAGAAGAGTTAAACCATGACAGCTCAAGCCCAAGCAGTGAGATTTGTACTGCAGCAGGGAGTTCAGGACAGGATCTCAGTTTTCCCAGCCTTCAGGGCTGAACTGGCACTCTGCAAGCACTAAACCAGACGGCAAGGCAGACGGCTGGGGGAGCATGTTGCATCTCGGCATCGGAGAATGCAAAAAGCTGCACTCAAAAGAGAAAAATCAGTGTCCTGTGAGGTACTGAGGATGCAGGAAAGGCTGCTCCCCCAAAGAGACGTGCCAGCCGAGTCACAGGACGGCCGTGCCCAGCAGCAATGGCCCCGTCCGCCTCACACGCCCCCACGAGCTGTATGGCACTGGGGGTCCATCACCGTCCCCCTCCCAGACAAGCCACCAGCAAGGCGCTCGGGTTGCCTTACCCAGCCGCCGGTAGCCCTCGGTGCCTGTAATGGGGCCCGGTGCCAAGCTGTTCACTCGGATGTTGTTGGGTCCCCACTCCACAGCAAGGTGACGGGTCATGGCATCTGAGAAGGGATTACAACAGGAATGAGAAATGGAGAGCAGAGACATCCCAGGAAATCTGGGGAGAGGGAAAAAAGCCACAGGAGACTGGCCAAGAGCAAAGGGCCCTAAAAGAGCCTCACGGGAAGAGAGGAGCCTCATCCCAAACCCAGGCACACAATAATCACACGACTCATATTCACCTCTCCCAAGGAGATCTTCCCATCCCAATCTTCCCATTCCACCCCAAGCTGGAAGAACCAGCTTCCTTGCTGGCCCCACACAGCTCACAGCGCCCCAGCAAGGAGGGTTTAGGTACCTATGGCAGCCTTAGCAGTACCAGCGTGGACCTGGAGGGCCTGCCCTCGGTAGCTCAGGGTTGCCGTGATGTTAACAATGACCCCACCGTGGTCCTGGGGAAGGAAAGGAAACACGGCACTAGGCCGGGAGCAGCACAAGGAGTCACGTCAGGGAGCGGTGGAACAAGAGAGCTGGGCTAGGTGGGATGGCCACCCGTGGGCACTGCCGCCTCTGCACTGCTGACCCATCACTGGGGCAGCGGGCCCCTTCCAGAGGAGAGATGCAGGGGACAAGCAAAGGCCAAGGGAAAGCAGAGGAGCAGGAAAAGGAGCAGCAGAGAACAGCTTTTCCCCATCAGAGCATGGCAAGGTGCCACAACAGTCAAAAGCCACAGGGACAGGCAGGATTCCCAGTTCCTGCACATGGGCTGCCATCCCTAGGAAGGAATGGACTCGATCTGAGCAGGGTGGGTGGCAGAGGCCCAGCAGCACAGCCCTGGCTATATGGCTGCTGTGCTCCTTTCTGCATGCCACACTTCCCTGAACGTTTCAGGAGCACAGGGTTTGACACAACTCCCCACCTGCTGGGAGCTCCAGTTCCACTTACCCGGAAATATTTCTCAAAGAGGACTTTGGAGGTGTTGAAGGTGCCAATGGTGTCGATATCTACCACGGTCTTGAAGGCGTTGAAGGACAGGGCGCTGGCCGGGCACAGAAAGTTTCCTGCTGCACCTGAAGAACAAGCAGCCAGGAGCAGAGTCAGGATGGGGCCAGGACAGATCAGGCAGGTTCAGTGCACTTCTGCCAGAGGGACGGCAAGCTAGCGCTTGTCTGGGTAGACTGGAGAGCACGTGGCAAGAGCCCTGATAAGGGGATAAACAGCTTGTGGCTCTGGGTGCCCAGCAGCACGGCCAGCCTGAGGGTAGGAGTGTGCTGGTGCAATGGGAGTGGGGACAACCCACACCCAGGCAAGCATGGATGGCCACGCATCACAAACAGGTCTCCGCTTCTTCTGAGCCCCTCTGCGCTCCCAGGGGCTGCCCAGGTGCTCCCAGGCCAAAGCAGCGTAAGCCAGACACTAGGCAAACACAACCTCCATGCAGGAAAATGCCCTTCCTAGCAGCCAGTCTGTAGTCTTTCCCCCTGCCCACTCCAGCACTCACCGTTAACAAGGATGTCAATCTGCTTGAACTCCTTCAGTGCCTCATCCACTGCTGCCACAATGGTTTGGGGCTGCCTGACATCTATGGACAGAGGCAGGCACTGCTGGCCAGTGGCTGCCACCAGCTTTTTCGAGGCCTGCAAGGAAAAAAAAGACTTCAGATTCTTTCTGGGACTCTCCTTCAGCAAGGGTTAGGCCCAGACCTTTGCTTGTAACAGGCAAGCAAGAAGTCGGGCAGGAGCCACATCCCTGCCAGCACACAGCAAACACTGCAGGCAGAGACCAGCCTAAACATGGCCAGCTTCAGCCAGGCAGCACCCTGCAGCTAAAGCCCTGGGGTAGCCAGAGAAAGCTCCTGCACACCGTGTCCCAACCCAGCACCAGGCTGGCCCCTGAGGCCACGACTCGCTGAACTCAGTTATCTCCATGGCCGGTCATCGATGCAGCACATCCCGAGCAACATCTCTGAGGGGCAAGTACAAAGGTTGGACCCCAACAAGGCATTTTTGGCATGAGCCCAGACAAAATTAACCTTTAGCTCCAAAAAATGGCAGGAGGCAAAAGCGCAAACACAGACCTGCAGTTGCCAAGGTCTCTGCCTCGCGGGCAGAGCGGCCCGGCTCAGTGTTTGCCACAAACCACTCCCGAGGAACTCATTAAGAACGTGGCTCCCCCCAGCAAATTAAGCACAGGAGACATGCAAACTCAGCTGCACAACACCCAGCAACACTCCATGTTCCTGCCTGGGCCCATCAGGCCCTTCTGTGAGAAGCTTTGAGCCCCAGCTACCACACACAAACACCAAGCGCCAAGAACCTGGGGAAGCAGTCCCTGTGCACTCAGAAGACTCCAGCCCCTGAGGATTAAAAAGCTGCTGAGCTTTGAAGCTTGTTTTCTGGCCTGTGAGCATGAGGGAACACGACATGACAGCACTAACCTCCTCCAGGAGGCAGCTGGGTCAGGCCAGCTCACTCCAAACGCTGGTTTTGATCTTAATTCTGTCAGTGAAGTCTACGCAGTGCTACTGCAAAGTTCTGTCACGGCCGCTTTCAGCCCGAGACCACAGCACTAGCCCTAGTGAAGAGCAGGAACCGTGATCAGCTGAGCTCCAGCTCGGGCTCTGACACACAGGAGCGGGTGTTTGTTCTACCCATCCATCCTTCGGGCAGCTGGTCTAACACAGCTTCTTCAGTCACTGCTTTCCAGACTTGCTTCCTCCTCTCTGACTCAAAAGACAAGATAACTGAGCTTTTGGGGCTCAGAGTAGCCACCTCAACCCATGCAACCCTTGGACAAGGGGGTCTTGTCCTACTCAAAGCTGAGATCTAAGTCCGACCTTGGGCTCTGACGCCTCCCTGCCGACAAACTTTCACCACAGTTTGTTTCTTTCTGTCTCATCAAGAAAAAGGCAACGTGATATCTGGCGGGGGAAGGTAGCAAGTCCCACAATTAACTGAGCTCTACCCTGAGATGCAGTGGGTAAAGCCCTCCCTAAACCTGCACCCAGCCTGCCCACCACCTCTGCCTGCTGGTGCTGAAGCACTTAAGAGCCAGGAGAAAACAGGGCAGCACTGGTAAGCCATTTCTCCTGTGTCACTACTGCCAGAGCTCCCAGCTCCACCCAGAGGAGAGGACAGAAGGATTGCCATGCATTCACAACTCTCCCTTCTGCCTGCCTGTCCCACTGGAGCCCAGACTCACCTCCGACACTCGCTGCAGGTTCCGGCTTGCAATGACCGTCCGGCAGCCGTGCCTGCAAAGAAGGGGCTGGTGAGATGGACCACACAGTGCTGGCTCCTCACAGTCATCTCGGAGCTCTGGGGATTACCAGGAATTCGGTCAGTGAGCTGCTCCTCCAAGCCCGCAGGACTCAGAGGACAATCACAGCACACTCGAGACGTACCCCAGCCCTGCGACAGGGCCAGTCCCTGCCTCCCACTCCCCCACGAGCTGCCAGAGCCTGCGGCAGATAGGGCTGCCCACGGCTCTCAGGAGGACTCGGTTGTCCTTCACACCCCATCTCTTCTAAACACCATTGCCACAGCCGTCTCAGGGGAAGGGGAACTTTTACGCCGTCCGTCCCACCGGTGCCCCGAGAGGCTGGGCAAGCCCTGCCCGGGCACCG